TTTAGGGAAGACTCCTGTAAAACGTCTGCCTGGTTGAAACTGTCCTTTCTCATCTTAAGTCCATTCGGGCTGCTGTAACAAAAATACTGTAGACTGGGGGGTTTACGCCACAGAAATTTATTTCTCACAGTTCTGGAAGCTGGGAAGTCTAAGATTAAGGTGCTGGTAGATTGGTGTCTGGTGGGGACCAGCTTCCTGGTTTGGAGATGGGCCATCTACTCCCCATATGTTCACATGGCAGAAGGGGCCAGAGAACTCCCTGGGGTCTCTTTTATAAGAGCACTTAACCCCATCATGAGGGTGCTACCCTCATGACCTAATCACTTCCTAAAGGCCCCACCTTCTAATACCATCACCTTGGGGGTTAGGATTTCAACATATGTTTGGAGGGACACAAACATTCAGTCCATAACATACCTGGACTTACAGAAGAGTCATGAAGACCAGTCACGAAGACCAGTGTAAGAGAGAACAGCATGCCCCCACCTCACCCCTCAGGCAGGTACACCAGTGACTTTGTACTTAGTAAGCAGGTTCCAAAGGGAATGGAGTTGAGGCTGAGAAATCCCACTTCTTGGTCCCATCTGGACCTTCATTTGTCATTGCCAAACTTGCTGATCTAGGCTTGATGTGATTAAAGGAATAGGTGGTCCCTGACAGAGCTGTGTGACCTTGGGGAAGTTACTTGACCTCTCTGTGGCCCTTTCCTTAGCTGTAAAATGGACATAACACACCTGTATCAAAGAATTATTGTAAGTATTACAGGAGTTGATGTTTGTGAAAATCTTAGAGCCATGCCTGACACACAGTAAGCACTATATACGTGTTTGGTTAACAAAAATAATCATGATCATGTTATTATATATTGGACTTCAGACAAATCAACACAAAATTGATGGCAATTAGCCATTAGCAGGCGTGGTAGGCAGAATTCTAAGATGTCTCCCAAGATTCTGGGTCCCCGGGATCCACACTCCTTCTGCCAGTTATTCAATTCGACACTAATCCAAGTGGTCGTTTGAAGGGATTTTGCAGATATGACTAAGGTCCCAAATCAGGCGATGATCTGGGTAGTCCTAACTTAATCAGGCGAACCCTCTAGAAGCAGAGTTTCCTCCAGCTGGCCGCAGCAGAGGAGCTGGGGAGATGCAAGCCACTTGGCCTGGAAGAGCGGCATCCGCATCCTTGCCGTGAAATTCCTAGGGAGGGGGCCCCAGAGCAAGGAACTGTGGGAGGTCTCTAGATGCTGAGGGCAGTTCTCAGCTGAGGGCCAGCAGGAAAACAAGGGCCTGAGTCCTACAGCTGCAAGGAACCGAATTCCGTCAACAACCAGCGATCTGGGAGGAAGAACGCCCCAAGCCCCAGAGAAGCGTAGCCTGGGTCAGTACCTTGATGTCAGCCCTGTGAGACGGTGAGCAGAGAATCCGGTCACACTGTGCCTGGACTTCTGGCCCTCAGAAACTATGAGATCATAAATTTGCATGGCTTTAGGCCACTACGTTTGTGAGAATTTATTTTGCGGCAACAGAGCACTAACATAGTGAGAAAAGAAAAAAAGCCAAGTAGGTGCAGGTAACAAATGACCAGTTAGATGATTTTGTTCAAAGGCCAGGCAGCCTCCTCTCCACCCTGCCACATTACGGGCGAAGATTTTTGACACTGACCAAGTTATTACAAAGTACTCTCCGTTCAGAAAAAAGAAATGGCATTTGCCACTCAGGGCTTGGTCTCACGGGAAAATGTGTGCTGTACTCACCAGCATCCCCGCCGAGGCAAGGCTGAGCTGCCTGCCCCCAAAGCAGCAAGTCTGGGGCCTCCCAGGCTGGTTTCCTTTGGTTGGGGAGAGGGCTGGGTGATGTCCAACCTCCTACAGGTGTGTGCAGACCTTTGACCTACATATTTGGCTCCGCCTCCACTTCCAAGACCAGCCTGGAATTGGCAGGGGATTTCAGGACCCAGGGACCAGAGCCCTGGGATCTATGGAAAAGGACAGAAAGCAGAGAGCTTAAGGCTTAAGAGCTCTGGCCTCTTCCTTAAACTCTGGTATAGCCACCTACGGTGCGACTTTTTGTAAATTCCTTAACCCCTCCGCACCCCCATCTGGAAAATGGGGATAACAGAGTTGTGAGGGTTTGAGGTAAGGCTTACAAATCACTGATACGTAGGACCTCGCCGTTAGCGAGCCCACTAAAATGGGAGCTGCTGTTTAATTGCTTTTGATGCTGCCTGGGTCTTCTACCCAAGCCCTAATACCAAGCGTTCATCGTATTATAAATACCCAACCCCGTTCTCCACAACAGACAGCTGAGCACATCTTGGTCCCTTGTTTCTGAGCCCCAAGCGTCTGCCTAATGACTAACTGCTCCAACCTGGTACACGGAGTACCGCACCACGTCAATCAACCCCAGTACAAACCCAGAGTCAATCAATTGTCCTTCCTTGCCTTCCTCTTCTTGCTCCCTTGTTTCATTAGAACAGGAATTGTGCTAGAGATGGGTACCAACCGGTCAGCATCTTCTACTGGAATGAAACCAAGGGAATGCAGTCACCGACAATAGGAGACTGGGCTACAATAAGTAGGAGTTAAGTTAGCACTCTAAAAACAGACATAGTAATTACCATTTTTAAAAGATGGTTTTGTGAGGCTAAAAATCTACATCCCTCATGCATGAAGGGGGGGGGGTCTATGAAATGTCACCGAACCAGTTTGATGATAGAATTTATGAGGTTGTGCCAGATTGTGATAAAAGTGTTCAAAGGTATATGCCACTTACAAATATAACCACATCTAGACTCATAAAAATAGGCTCCCTATTTAAATCGAATCTTCTTTCTGAGCACTGCTAAATGAGGTAATTTGAAATTTTCCCAAACTGCAATGAGGGAGGTAGTGGTGGTATTTTTCCCATTTGTGGAGATGACCATCTATTATAGGGATTTGCAAATTGGTTAATTGTCTGGAAGATTTAAGAAGAAAAATGCTGTTCTAGTAATTCTGTACCATCCTGCACTCAGAGGATTTGGTTGAGGGAAGATTAACATAAGCAAGAGTCTGCCCCATACATTTTAAATGAGAAACCAGGCTATTTTTTGAACTAATGTTCTCAAAAAGAGAACTATAGCAAAATGCCTATCATTCCTTACTCCTTAGCAAATGATTCCCCCAACTACAGTGTTAAGATCCAGAAAGTCAACATAATATCTTTGCCTGTCTCCTTCATGGTGTCTAGAAGAGGGCCTAGCCCAGACACAGGCACGGATTATTTCCTGAATAAGTGAATTAGCGAAATTAAATGAATTAGCAAGTGGCAGGATGCTGATGTTCTTTTTGTCTAAATTCTGAGCAGTTATAAATGTCAACACGATCAGATGGAGAAGGAAAACAAAGGAGCAGGGAAGTGGGGTTCTGTAGAGTCATATTTGCATTTTGGGGTACACTGGACGGGAAGAAGGAAACCCAGCGTCAATGGAATTTATCACTACAAAGTTTTTGTTCCTGAATGGAAATTTCCAGAGCCCATGTTGTAAACCACCTTACAATGGGTCATTTATAAGGAGCCTTTTTGCTTAAGTGACGATGTGGCAGCAGCGCCATCTGCTGGGTAACTAGCTGGGCATTTTAGAACCACATTCTAGAAGCCTTTTTTTTTTTTTTTCCAAAAAGCAAATTGAATTTAGAGTCACGGAAATTATCTCAGAAATATCTTTAGAGATAATCTAGGCCATGTGTCATCTTACAGGTAAGGACTGGCCCTAAGTCGGTACAACACTGTCTTTCTTTCTGTTGATACAATGGAGCCCCAAATTCATCTCTCCGAGAGAAGACGGACTACAGCCGTTATTACTAAACTATATTCCAGGTCTCATGTAAATCAGAAACTGAAAGGCAGTTAAAATCCACTTGTTAAGCATCCGAAGAGTGCTGTCCAGTAGAAATGTCTGCAACGATGCAGCAATAGAACTTTCTGCAATGATCCGTATCTGTGCGTGCTGTCTAATACAGGAACCCCTAGCCGCGTGTGGTTATTAAACGTCTGAAATGTGGTCAGTGACACCGAAGAACTGGATTTTTAATTTTATCCAATTTTAATTACTTTACGTTTTTAAAAATAGCCAGCCACAGATGGCTAGTGTAAGTGGTTCTCAACCTGGGCACTATTTGCATTTTGGACTGCATCATTCTCTGCGGCGGGGGCTTGCCCGTGCACTGCAGGGTGCTTTAGCAACAGCCCTGGCCTCTCCCCACTAGATGCCGGGGGTACCCCCCCCCCGGCCCCCGCAAAGTTGTGATGACCAAAAAAGTCTCCAGACATTGCCCCAGAAATGCCCCCTAGGGCACAAAATCACCCCTGGTTGAGAACTACCGCGCTAGTCGCTACTGTAATGGACGGCACAGTTGTAGAACATGCCTAATGGTTTTCTCATAAGAACGGGGAAGCTTAAAAAAAAAAAAAAAGTCAGATGTAGACAAAGAAATCTCTTTCTTCTTTATCCTCCTTCCCACGTAACAGATGGAGCCCCGAGAGTCATGTCTGAAGATTCGACCTCACGCCAGAGTCCCCAGGTTAGCCTCATAAAACCCATCCTGGAACCTGGCTTCCCTCAAGTCACTGTGAGGAACTGGAGGAACGGACCTCCCGGAGTCTCAGCGGCTCCCCTGGAGAAGGGGAGGGGGGGTTGGTACCTACCTGGCAGGGCCGCTGGGAAGGCAGAATCCGTGCTTCAGAAGCGGTTCAAACAAGAGTTGGGATTTTCACCGCCCTCTCCTAGGGAAGGGCGGAAAGGCCTCATGCCTCCCAACCAATAATACCGAAGTTCCCAGTGTTTCTCCAGCGAAAATAAAAATCTCAGTGACAAGACCAGCGAAGCTCTATGAACCTGACTTTATTTCAAAATGCCAGTGGCCACAACTCGGGGTGGGTTGTTTGTGATGCCAGTCCCTTGACACATTTACATGTGAAGGAGAAACCGTTTCAGCTCCTCGGGGAGGACAAGTTCATTGATCTTGTGATGCTGCTGGGTCCTGAAGCACTTCCGGATCCTAAGGCGGCAGAGCTGCAGCAAAGAAGAGGGCCCTGGAGAAAGATCGCAAGACAAGCCACACGTTGGTGTCATTGATCTAAGGCTACTTCTCCTTTCCTTCCTGACAGCAGACAAGCTGCAACACTGTCATAGGGAAATAACATGGTTCTGCTTAAGACCATTTTCGGGCTTTTGTAGTAGGAGGCATTTTTAGGCCACGTTCTCTCTTTTTCTGGTAGCTAGCTGAAATGAGCTTATTCGGTTTTGATTTAGAACAGACTGGAAAAAAAAGTCAAAGCTTAGTCTCACTAATGGAGGCTTAAGGCAGCTAATTTTGGAATTAGGAAGCCACACAAAATTCCCAATAATGAAAACGAAATTCTCGTTTAACAGCTTTCTTGTGTTTTACCTTAAAAAATAAGGTATTTCCAAAAAAATAAGGCATTTCTAGATACAAACATTTTTATAATTTAGCAATTTTAAGATATTCGAATATACTGAGCTATCAGTGAAGCCTACGGGTATGTTATCTTCTCCAGGCCTTTGTTTTCTGTTCTGCATTCAGAGCTAACCCAATGCTTCAGCTCAGAGGTGAAAAGTAAACGAGCACAAACTTTGCATCGGGAACCAGCCAAGAGCTTACATTTTAGGACAGTGGTTCTCAACAGGGGGCTGGGTGGAAGCGAAAAGGAAGGGAGACTTGGCAAAGCCTGGAGACACTTTTGTTTGACACCACTTGGGGGAGAGGTGTTACTAGCATCTAGCGGGTCGAGGCCAGGGATGCTGCGAAGCATCCTAGGGTGCACAGCAGTCCCCAAGGGGCCCAAAATGTCACCAATGCTAAGGCTGAGAAACCCCACTATGAAGTAAAAGGATAGGAAACGATTTCCCCCTACCCCCACCCCCTGCACCAAACTGTAATGGGAACTCTCTTTTTGTTATTAAACACACACACAAAAGCAAAGCTATATACCCTCTAGAATCCCATAGAGCAGTGGCCCTCAATCCAGGCTGCATTTCAGAAGCACCTATCAGGGGGAGCTTTAAACCACAGGACGTTGGGCCCCACCCCAAGGCCGTTGCTTCTGCTCATGCTGGGTGGAACCTGTGCATCCAGATTTTTTAAAGGCACGTGCCCCAGGTCATCTTATCGTGGAGCCAGGGTTGAGAACACGAGTGAAAGGATACAGCGGCTCGGCTTTGCGACAGCAGCCCTACAAGCCGAGGAGCTGGGCAACGTGTATCAGCACAACGGTAGGCAAGCAAGTAAAAAGAAGAAATAAGGGCAGAGAGACCCCTCCACAACCAAAGAAAGCAATGCAGTCCTGTCAATGTGGACGTCCGAGCACATTCACAAGGCCCCCATCGGGCCTTAGGGCACCTTCCGGACTCTGTTCAGGGGACTCAAGGCAGCTACTAATGACCTGCTTCCCGGTGGACTCAAGGCATATGTTAACAAACTGCAAAAAGTACTCGGTGGGGAAACTGAACTTACTTCCATCTCACTAAGGAAGGTCGAAGGACGTGGCTAATCACATGCGCTAGACTCGTGGGCGCGGACAACTGTGGGACGTACGGATAAAGCAGTATCGGAAGATGCAGAAAAGCAGGACATCCGAGGAAGGTCAGCGCAACTACCGCTACTAATTGAATACCTGCTGCTTACCCTAAGTAGGGTGATACACAACAAGTGTAGCCTTAAGTCCCAGAAATAGAGCTGAAAACCCACTATAGCTCCTGCCATGCTGGGCTGAGAGTCATTTGTAGTTTTCGTTGTGTGCCGTGAGTAAACACTGCTTTAGATGCTTTTCGAGGCCAGTGGGGTGGTAATACTCCTGAACTCCTTTCCTGGGACATCCAGAGACCGAATCTGCTGTGTTGGATCTGCAGGTCTGGCTCTCTGCACTTGGCCTGGCCCCACGCCCTGTGGGCTTCCAGACTGCTGAGAGGTGACCTCACCAAAACCCCAAAAATGACTCATGGAGGCAAAAGCAGCAGTAATTTTCTCGAGGAACAAATGACATTTTATAAAGCAGTGCGATCATTGACCACACTGTCACCAAAATGGGAATTAAAGGAATGAAAGGCAATGCAGGTGGGACACCTGGGTGGCTCAGTCGTTAAGCGTCTGCCTTCGGCTCAGGTCATGGTCCCAGGGTCCTGGGATCGAGCCCCACATCGGGCTCCCTGCTC